TCTTTGCACCATTTTTTTTGTCTTTGGCGATCGGTTAACGTCAACAAAGGCTTTCTTACGCAATGAAACGAATTTAATTCTTTCTTGCGTAATAACTTACTTACTTACGACTAACTGTTTTGTCTACCAGCGAACTATTGATTTCTGCACTTAAAGTTGATACTCCCGCTTTTGGGTAACGTCTGCTTAGCATATAAAGCATGTTTTCATCGCGTGCTGTCAGTTTTTTCGGACGCCCAGTAAGGGGATTATCATTGACACTACCAGTTGATAAATAATTTTTTATTGTTGTACGAACGCTGCATTCAGAAATATTTAGGCGTCTGCCAATATCTCTATTGCTTATTTTCATTTTATGCATTCCTATGACTTGCCATTTTGTTTTCGACGAAACAGCTTTATTACCCATTAAAATATGATATTTTGACAAAGCTGTATCAGTTGAAAATTGGTATATTTTAAATCAAATCGTATTTGTGGTTTTTATTTAAAATAAAATAAGAATAAGAATCCAAATATAATATACTAACGTTGACAGGCTGTTGAGTGATAAAAATGTAAAAGACTTTAATAAAAAATCTCTCAATAAACGAGTTTAACGCGTTTTCTTATCAAAGTGCGTTTAAATTTTATTTCAAAAAACTAAAAGGAGTTAACTGCTCCGTTAATTTTCTCATCACTCTCCACCTCCGTTATAATATTCATACAATTTTTTTCTATCTAAACTAATAACTTATAGCCATAGTATAAATAAACATAAAAATACTGAGCATATCTCATTAATTTATCGGGTTATCATTTCTTAAAAGTATTATATAAGTTAAAAAAACAAGTGCGTTTAAACTTTCTGTACAAGGTGTATATACATATATATATATATATATATATATATATATATATATATATATATATATATATATATATATATATATATATATATATATATATATAAATATATATATATATATATATATATATTATTTTTTTTTTTTTTTGCCGTTTAATATTACAATAACTAAATATATTTTACAATTTTTTACATTAGTAACGACAGGATTCTAGAAGATCATGAGGATCTTGTCATGAAGCCCTTTACAATATATGGTTAACTTTTAATAAAAATAAAATGTCTGAAGTGAAATAATAAAACACCTCTATGCAAAAATATTTAAAAACCAAGATAAAATGTTAAAAAGTCAAGATAAAATTTTAAACCAAATAATATACAAAATTAAACAACAACAAAAACAAAACAAAAAAAAAGGCAATTAAAAATAAATCAAGATATTTTCAATTAAAAATATAATTTTTTTAAGTTTCTGTTTGAATGAAGCAAAATTCATTTGGGTTGAAAAATCAAAATTTGGTAAGACTATTTTGTTACAGAGATAAGGACCTCGGTAAGAAACAAAAAACTGGTCTTTGCTTTTACGACAAAAAGGGGCAATAAGACTGTTATTAATTCGAAAATTATATTTGTTTTTAGGTTTCATACAATAAAAATTTTGTAATTCATTTAGCGACAAATTTTCTCTACATTTAAACATGAAACATAAAATATTAAAGACATTTAGTTGATATACATTTAAAATATTCATTTCTTTTAAAAGTTGTTACGTGTGAAAAAACCGATTTTTAAAATTTAATACGCGAGTTGCGTGTTTCTGATGAAGGTAAAGAGATTTTAGCTTTGTTCTGTGAGTGCTTCCCCATATAATATTCGCGCAGTTTATATGACAATGTATAAATGAATAATATAATTGTGTTAACTGGTGTTTACTTAATATATTTTTGGCTTTATAGAGAATTCCGATGCATTTAGCAATTTTGTTGGAGGTATTATCAATATGATTTCTCCAAGATAGGTTTTCATCAATATATATATATATAGTATATATATATAGTATATATATATATATATATATATATATATATATATATATATATATATATAATATATATATATATATATATATATATATATATATATATATATATATATATATATATATATATGTATATATATATATATATATGTATATATATATATATATGTATATATATATATATATATATATATATATATATATATATATATATATATATATATTATATATATATATATGTGTATATATATATATATATATATATATATATATATATATATATATATTTATATATATATATATATTTATATATATTTATATATATATATTTATATATATATATATATTTACAGCGAGTCCAAATATTATTGGCCCGCCTTTGCATAACTAATTAATTTTTGCTGGCATATAAGAACTATAAAAGAGAATTACTAAGTGTTAGTATCATCATGTCGTCTGTTATCACTAGTATATATACAACAAGTTTCAGCTTTTCAATTACTTTTGTTCTTGTTTTATTGAGAAAACAGTATAAGTTTGTTCAAATATTATGTACAAAAATTATTGGCCCAGAGAAAAGAAAAGAAAATAATACTACCAAAAAGTTCTAGAACTTTCGTGTTTTTTCAGAATATTATAGAATTGTGTCGACACTATATCTAGAACCACTAATCATAGTATAAATACTTGCGGATTTCTTCACTAAATGATAATTTACTAAAATGGCACCTAAAAAAAAAGAACATAGTAATGACCTTCGAGCTTTAGTAATTCAGCACTATCAAAACGGCGATTCTCAACGAGAAATTGCTGCTAAGACATTACTTCCTCGAGAGACAGTAGGATACATAATTAAGAAATACAAACAGACGAAATGTATCGGTAATTTATTCGGACGTGGTCAAAAAAGGAAAACAACCGAAACGTTGAATCGATTGATAGTACGCTAAGTTAAGTCCGATCGATGTAAATCTGCCAATGCTGTAAAGATCGAGGTCGAGACCGAACTAGGAATATCATTACACGTCAATACCATTTGAAATAAACATCACGAAGCTGGACTTTATGGTTGTGTAGCACGAAAGAAACCATTAGTCAACAAAATCAATCAAGTTAAACGACTGAAATACGCAAAAACAATGTTGAACAAGCCAATAAGGTTTTGGGAAACTGTCATTTGGTCCGATGAATCAAAATTTAATTTGTTCGGGTCTGATGGAAAAGTAATAGTATGGAGAACACCCAAGGAAGAGTTCGATCCACATTGTACTGTGGCTACGGTCAAGCATGGTGGTGGTTCTGTTACCGTTTGGGATTGTTTCACGCGAAATGGAATTGGTGAATTATGTATTTTGGAACATACAATGGACCAATTTTATTATCGTAACATCTTAGAGCAGCATTTATTACCATCGATCCAAAAATTTAATTTTAAATAAGAATTTTTTTCGTCCTCGATAATGACCCCAAGCATACATCAGGTCTAGTCAAGGATTGGCTCAAACAAAACAATATTGAAACATTATCTTGGCCTTCATCCTCGCCTGATCTCAATCCCATTGAACATCGATGGTATGAGATCGACCGGAGGATGAAGAAACACAAGCCGAAAAATATCTATGAACTTGGAGACCTCTTAAAGAACGAATTGAATAACGTCAAGTTGTCTGTTCTCCAGAAACTTGTTGATTCAGTACCAAGTAGATTACAAGAATGCATCAAGATAAAAGGTTACCCAACACGATACTAGATTCGATGAAATACCTGTTTCGCGAAGGACAAAGATTTTTTTCTTTTCTCTGGGCGAATAATTTTTGTACATAATATTTGAACAAACATATACTGTTTTCTCTATAAAACAAGAACGAAAGTAATTGAAAAGCTGAAACTTGTTGTATAAATACAGTGATAACAGACGATACAATGATACTAACACTTAGTAATTCTCTCCTATAGTTCTTATATGCCAGCAAAAATAAAGTAGTTATGCAAGGGTGGGCCAATAATTTTTGGATCCACTGTTATGTATATATATATATATATATATATATATATATATATATATATATATATATATATATATATATATATATATATATATATATATATATATATATATTTATACATACATATATATATATATATATATATATATATATATATATATATATATATATATATATATATATATATATATATATATATATATATATATATATTAGTAGATATATATATATATATATATATATTATATATATATTAGTATATATATATATATATATATATATATATATATATATATATATATATATATATATATATATATATATATATATATATATTAGTATATATATATGTATATATATATATATATATATATATATATATATATATATATATATATATATATATATATATTAGTATATATATATGTATATATATATATATATATATATATATATATATATATATATATATATATATATATATATATATATATATATTAGTAGATATATATATATATATATATATATATATATATATATATATATATATATATATATATATATATATATATATATATATATATATATATATATATATATATATATATTAGTAGAAAATCACTTAGAAATTTTTTTTCTTATTTAACACTGTGTTTTATCAATAAAGACTCATCAGAAAATCTTAGATTAATATATATATATATATATATATATATATATATATATATATATATATATAAATATATATATATATATATATATATATATATATATATATATATATATATATATATATATATGTATATATGAATATATATATATATATATGAATATATATATATATATATATATATATATATATATATATATATATATATATGTATATATATATATATATGTATATATATATATATATATATATATATATATATATATATATATATATATATATATATATATATATATATATATATATATGAATATATATATATATATGAATATATATATATATATATATATATATATATATATATATATATATATATATATATATATATATATATATATATATATATATATATATATATTGATATATTTACATATTTAGTCCTGTTAGAGACAATGTAGTTGTAAATGATCGATGGGGAAAAGATGCAAATTGTAACCACGGAGATGTCAAAACGTGCAGCGATCGATATAATCCAGGTAGGTAAAATTTTAATATTTTAAAATAGGCAAATTTTGATAATTCAAGGATTAAATTATATTGCATGCTTTAAAAAGCTATTTAATCTTTTTGTTGTTGTTTTACAAAAACACTTTAAATTGCATAATATAAAAAAATGGACTGTGATAAAAGACTTTGACACTATAATTAAAATTAAAGACATTTTTTCTAATCAAAAATATTAGGATTTCTTTCTCAATACTTAAAATGTTATATTTAAAATATAAACTTTTGTGTTTATAGTGTAAATCTATTTTTCAGTGCTTACAATCTTCTTCTTTTTCTAGCGATCAAAACATTCCTGACCTGACGAAAACGCCAAAATAGTTGCTTAAAAAGTTAATTTGTGTGCAACTAGTGTGAATTTGTTCTAACATTTTACTTTTCAATATCACTAAAAAATTGTCAAAAAGAATTAAGAAAACCTTGTTCTATTATACCATGCCTCTTACTTATTTAATGATTTCAATACTTAAATCTTTATTTTCTAAATTTGCTGTTAAAAATAACTTTTGTTTTTGTAATATATGTAGTAAAACAGGGTAAAATGAAAAGGCGGGTAGAATGAAATAGTTATGACAATGTTTATTTTTTCGCTCTTAATTAATTATTTAATAAACTTTTGCTAATATTTTTTGATAATGTTGTAGAAAATACTTTTTTTGAGTAAGATGATGTCAAATTTTATTTTTAATAAAAAAAATTGTTGCAAATTGTTAAGTTTTAGAATGCGTAAAAAGATTTTTGTATCATTTCAAAAAATAAACTTAAAATTCTCGGAAATTAAATTTGATATCATTGAACCTTAAAGGTTTTATGGTATAACTTTTTCCGCTGATCAAGAGTCTTTTTTCAAAATTATATTTGCTATTTAGGAAAAAAAGTTAAGAATAAAAAAACCAAAAAGAAGAAATGTGGGGTTAATTGAAATACGCTAATAATAAGTGAAGCAATTCTTAAATGCGGCTTTTTTTTAAATTATTTCTCAAGTGATCTATAAATCTCCAGCCATAAATTTTTGTATAAATATCAATGAACGAATTTTTCTATTTGAATTTAAATGAATAACTTTTACTGGCTGCTTTTATTAAATGATTCAAATAAATGAATGAAATACGCTAGTTGCTCTTTTGTTAAATGCGGGTTTTATTAATTAATTAAGTGTCAAATGACCAAGCAACCTCTATAAATTTTTTGCATAAATTTCAAACCGATTATTATAAAATCTATTTTAATATAAAAGATGCCTCGAAATAACTTGCGTGCAAAGTAATAAGAAAAACTATACACCGAAGAGCATGTTAAGCTTGCGGTGGCCAAAATACAAAGCGGGAAATTTTCACTTAACAAATCTGCTAAATCACTCAGCATACCAGTAGCAACTCTTCACAAGCGTGCCCACTCTATAGGTGAAACAATTAGCAGTGGTTCAAGCACGAGATTGTCACAACAACGTGAACCAGTTCAGATAGATACGCTCATCAAATTATCCGATTGGGGCTTTGATAGAACTAACAATAACGTCATCGCACTTGTTACCGACTATTTGCAACACCAAGGTCAATCTAATTTGTTTCCGAATGGTACACTAGGAAGAGATTGGTATAGGCTTTTCATAAAACGGTGGAGTCATAGGTTGAGCATCAGAGCCAAAGGCAATATTTCGTTACTCAGAGCCACTTCTTGCACGCTAGAAATAATAGCAAAGTATTTCAACACACTGCAAAGCGAATTCAACATAGCAGGTATCAACGAAGGCATTTCATGTCATTTGTGGAATTTTGATGAAATTAGCTTCTCTGGTGATCATGGTAAGCAACACATAATATGCCGGCGTGGTACAAAGCGGCCGTTGAAATTGGTTGGCAACAATCAAAAAATCCATTATATTGTTGGAAATTGCATCAATGCTGCTGGCAATCGTCTTGCTCCATACATTATTTTAAATCAAAAAAACGTCTGTACAGAGATTGGTGTTTAAGTGGTCTAGATAATGCCATATATGCTATATCCCCATCTGGATGGATGAAAGATAAGCTATTTGTGCAGTGGCTCACTAAAATGTATGTTGCCATTAAGAAAATTCCAGGTAATTAGTTCAATCTAATTACATTTATTTAATTTTACATTTACAAAGAATTACATATATCTAATTATAGTTATCTAATTTTAGGTATTCATATTTTAGTCGTAGATGAACATGTGACACATGTTACTTTTCGGGTCGTACTTATTTTCATCGAAAATAATATCTTGTTAATTTGCTTACCAGCTCACTTCTCTCATATTCTACAGCCACTAGATGTTAGTGTTTATTGCCATGTGAAAAGAGTTTGGCGCAAGTTACTTTAACAGTTTTATACAGAGACAAAGTTCAGCAACTTATTAAAAGAATGTTTTAGTCACCTGCAAAAAAAACTCTTCAGCTCTGATAAATTTTTTATGTCTACCCAAATAGTCACTGGGTTTTAGAATACTGGCTTGTTTCCACTCGACATCAATAAAATCGATCATTCAAAGTTGCAAATTGCTAATACGTTTGAAACACCGTCGTCTGAACCTGAGCCTTCATCATCTTAACAACCAGAATCTATATTAATACCATCACCAATGCTAGCACCAGAAACTGCACTACCTCAGCCACTGCCCTCTGAATCTACACCGACAACATCCAGCATCAGCATATGTTACATAGTATCAGCCTCAAAGTCACCTTAAAAGTCACCCTGTCTGCAAACTACCTTCAATATTGTAGTAACTCCAGCAATTCGAAAAGAAATTCAAAAAGAGTTTGAAAAACGTTGTAATTATATGTAATGAGAAAATATAAAATAAAAAGTAAGCATTTTTAAAAAACTAAATTGTTTAAATCTTTCCAAATAAAATGAATTGGAAATAAAATGAATTTTTTAATGACCAATAAATAAACATAAAGTAGGTCTAGAAGAAGTCCTCCATGTTTTGATTAAATAAAAAAATTTTTTTGGCCGTCATTTAAAATTATTTTTTAAAATGTCGTTTCTGATGATATACTCCATAATTGGGAATATCTTGTTGTGATGGATAACATAGTGGCTTCAAAATAAGTTTTAGCTTAAATATAATTATTTTTTGCATGTCTTGTAAGATATTTGTGGTAAATTTTTTTTAATAGCATTTTGAAAAAGTTTGGGATTGTATCGTTAGTAATTCTGTAAATAAAAGTTAAATGGTGACATATATTCGCGTGGTACATTCAAAAAGTTTAAATTTTTAGATTAATAAATAGCGGTTGTGAATGAGACTGACGGTCTTGTTGGATAGTATTCTTATGGCATGTTTTATCAGTTTTTATATCTATCTAATAATATAGTATCTATCTAATAATCTATCTAATAATAAGCTATTGGCTTATTACTGTTAATAAACTCTAAGCTGAAACACAAGGCTCTAAATATGGACTTGAAAATGCACACCAAAAGTGAGACATACAAAACAAGGACGCCACCCATGCGCAATATTGCACAGTTAGTACTATGATATTTTACATTTGTTGATGAGATAAGCCTTTATGAGATCAAAATTTGGAAAACCTGATTGCCATCCGGCTTCAGAACCTTAAAACTTAGTTTTAGAGCTTTACCCTTATTAAGAATGAGTTGCCTTGTCATAAAAATAAAAAATAGTGACATAAGCAATACTGATGCAATGAGTAAAGAAGATCAATCATTTAACACCCCAAACTGGTAACAACGTGTTATTAATTCGAATGCGTATAATAGATGACGAAGGAGTGCAAAGCTAGTCAACAGATAGAATCTGTTTACTTCTTAATTTATCGTTTAATACCCCTCTGTTTCCTGTTCACATCCTATTGCTTTATCTCATTAATTTTATTTTTTTTAAATTGACTCACGCAGCGACTACCGTTTAAAGGATCTATTTTTAAATTGACTCACGCAGCGACTACCGTTTAAAGGATCTATTTTTAAATTGACTCACGCAGCGACTACCGTTTAAAGGATCTATTTTTAAATTGACTCACGCAGCGACTACCGTTTAAAGGATTTTTAAATTGACTCACGCAGCGACTACCGTTTAAAGGATTTTTAAATTGACTCACGCAGCGACTACCGTTTAAAGGATTTTTAAATTGACTCACGCAGCGACTACCGTTTAAAGGATTTTTAAATTGACTCACGCAGCGACTACCGTTTAAAGGATTTTTAAATTGACTCACGCAGCGACTACCGTTTAAAGGATTTTTAAATGAGCTAAAACTCCTTTAAAATAATAAGTTAGTTAACTAAAAATAATGTGTTTCAAAATAAGTACAAATTAAATTGTTCTTTGGTACAAAAAATACTAAGTATGAAAAATTCTGAAAATTTGTTTTGTGTGGTCAAATGTTACTGCTGGGGGCAACTCTTGTCCAATTTTGGTTATCTTAGTTTCATTTTTTTTTTAGTTTTTTTTTTTTTTTTTTCAAAATCTAGAAAAGAGGGAGAAATCACAAATAGCATAGTATTTCTAATAAAAGTTATTTTCACTTCATCCTTCTTTTTTATTTTCATTTTGTTTTTCGTTAGAATTTATATTATCAAAACTATTGTTGTTACTATTATTGTTATTATTATTATTATTGTTATTGCTACTATTATTACTATTATTATTATTAAATTTAATCTATAAAGGAAAAATCCGTGAAGCTGCGATTGTAACCAATTCCTGCTAAAATAGATTTAACATAGAGAATTACCAAGCAAAAACTAAAAAAAACTAAAACAATTGGTTTAGTAGTGTTATTAACATTACTGAGTGAGAAACAGAATACCGATCATACAGTTTTTTCGGAAGTCAAAAAATCTGCTTTATGATTAACCAGTAACATAATTATAAGAACAGTAATATATTACTTTTACATTCTGACTGGCAAAGCAAATAAAATTTCCATTTTTTTAAATAAAAAAAATATAATTAAAAATGTATAACGTCTAATGTTATACAAAAGTGTGAAATTGCAGGGCCGACGACACGGGTTTTGAAGTGGGAGGGAGTGGGTGGGCAAAATCATCAATTTGTGAAAAGAGTTTTCTATATCAAGATTTTTCTTTAAAAAAATTAGGTCCTTAAAAAAAAAAAATGGGGGTCGGGAACATGTTCCCTGGCCATCCTGGTGTCGTTGGCCTTGAAAATTTTGAAACAAAAAAAAAAAAGAAAAGAAATATATATAATAAACTGGAGCTCATAAATCTTTTAAAATTTAAATACGTTATAAAATAATTTTTTGTAATTGAAAAAGAATGAGAAATAATGAAAATTTAAAAAGTTTAGAAGATTTAAATATATTTATAAAACAAACAAACAAAAACAGCAATCAAAACAAATCATAAAATACTGTTTTAAATAGTCACACAAAAAATCTTTTTTTAAACAAAATGAAAGAGTGTTTGTATAGTTTAAGTTTAGTTATATGTTTTTTTATAGTTCTCTAATATATTGAATGTTTTTCATACTTTCATTAAAAATCGAGTTCCGCATGCGTGGTTCTCGAAATGTTATTTAGAAGTCAGATTTATTAAGTGAGGTTAGTGAAATGAAGTAGTTACTTATGGAGTGTCTTGTTTTATATTTATGATTAATTACAAGACATTTTTATAAAAGTGTTTTGCAATTATTTTATTTTGTAGTTTAATCGTAGATATTTAAATCATAAACATTGAGAACATTAAGTTTCTTGAGTAACGGTTAGGCAATTTTGTATCTATCTACGCCCAAAAATTATCGACTTGCTTGCTTTTGTTTAATGTAAACATTTTTCAAGGAAGATAAACGATAACTTCTCTGAGCAATATTACAATTGTTAATATGACTATGTAAAAAAGAATAGTATACATTTTTTTAAACGTGTTTTATTCAAAAGATATTTTAAATCGTACAATATCCCTAGAAATTTTGAAACTTTCTTTTAAACAAACTTTACATGACTTCAACATTTTATATGTTCATCAAAAATTATGGAATTTTTATTGAAAAAACTGTTGCTTTTATTAGTATTGTTAATTACCAATATGTAAATAAAAGGTCATGGAGAAATCATGTAGGCCTAATTGATTCAAAAATATCTTCTGCAATAGACATTTTATATAAACCTCGATAACGTCTTGGTTTTAGTTCACAAAAAGTTCTTGTAATTTATGTTTTCTAATTGAGTTAATTACAAAACATTTTTATAAAAATGTTATTTTATTTTTTAGTTTAAGCATTAATATTAAGTTATGGTAGATAATCAGTTCATAAATATTGAGAACATTAACTTCCTTGAGTCACGGCTAGGCATTTTTGTATCTATCTACAACAAAAAATAATCAACTTGCTTGAGAATACATGCAGGAAGGCTGTTTAGGCCCAGACTTATTTTGTTTTAAAGTTTTATTAAGAGACTCATCACCTCAACTTCAATCACTGGCTCGAAAAAAAAAAGAAATTTTATTAGGATTTGCTTCATTAACAACGTTGTCTTTAAAATGAATATTTAAAGACAATGTTGTTAAATAACTAATAGATTGTATCACTTTAGAATAAACTCTTTAAAAATTTTAATATGGATTTTTTTTAGTTATTTAAATGTCATATTTTTTAATAAATCAGAAGTTCAGCTCCTGTTTTAGTAAGACATAATTTTTTGATTAATTTGTTTACTTTATTCTGATTGAAAGGTTGAAAAGTTGTTATTTGTACAGAAGCTTTCTTTATGTCTTGGCTACTGTTACTTTTTGACTCATAAAATGAAAAACACTTAGCTCTGTAAAAGAAAGAAAAAAGGTCAGGTAGCAACTTTAATACAGACGTAACTAACAGTAGCGTTCAAAAATTCATTGATAAACTTTACGACGCTGAAACGCAAAGCCTCGTATTAAAAGTTCCTTTTAATAACGTATTTTCCGTCATCAATTTAAGTATATTAAGTTATCTGTCTTGAAAACCACTACTTTTCTTTTCTCATGTTTTTTAAGCACTGATTATGTATGGGAGCTCAGTTGCCGTTTTGTACTAAAAATTTAATAACTTTAATACGGTCAATAATGCAGGAAAATTTTAAGAATCAGCCGTGAAAATGATTTAATAAATAATAAAAGATTTACAGAGGAAAAAACCTTTTAAAAAATTTAGATCTGTGTTAATTATTGACTAACGTTATGATTATATTTAGGTAAAATGATGCCTTTTAAATGGGAAAATGCTATGACGATTGACAAAGAGTCATGGGGTTACAGAAAAGAAGCCAAACTTGAGAGTTACATAAAAACAAGCGAAATAATTAAAAGCCTTGTTGAAACAGTTAGGTAAATCGAGTTTAGTTATTATTTAAATGCACGTTGTAAAGGTATTACTATAAGCAGAAATACTTTTTAGTTATGGTGGAAATTTGCTCCTCAATGTTGGGCCTACAGCAGAAGGACGAGTTATACCAATATACGAGGAAAGGCTCCGTGATATTGGAAAATGGCTTCGAATAAATGGTGAAGCAATTTACGGAACCAAGCCATGGAGAGTTCAAAAAGATTTAAATAGCAAGAATGTATGGTACGTATGATTTCTTGTATTTTATATTCTTTTTTTTTTTAATTTATATATATATATATATATATATATATATATATATATATATATATATATATATATATATATATATATATATATATATATATATATATATATATATATATATATATATATATATATATATAAATTTCTTATCTTTTTAATTGTTTTAAAGTTTCCGTTTAATAAATTTTATTTGTTTAACCTTCTAGGTATACTAAAAAATTTCATTACGTCTATGCAATTATGTGTGGTTGGCCAGAAAATAGATATTTGCACTTGGGTTCTCCAAAAACGAATTCATTAACAAGTTTAACGTTGTTGGGTTATTCGGGTAATATTATTTTTGAATTAAATCGAGGTATTCAAATAGATTTATACCATATATATAGATCTCTTTCTTCTAGTGATCATGCATGGACATTTGTGTTAAAAAATGTAAAGTAATAGTTTAACTTGAATAATTTAAAAATAAAATTGTTTGTAATAAATTTGTACAATTTTGTAAAAGTTAATTGTGATAAAATAAAATATAATTGTGATAAAATAAAGTATAATTGTGATAAAATAAAGTAAAAAAAAGTTAATTATGATAAAGTGTAAAGTTAATTGTGATAAAACAAAACATAAAATAACATGGAATCTCATATCGTCAATTTATCAGACCAAAAAAAATCCACTTTTATGAAGTGATCACACATCAAGGTACCAAATTATGAAATCTTTTAATTTTTTCCAAGTTATAAAATTACAATCTTTGAATTGAATAAGTTTTTAAACCTATAATGCGCCAATGAAAACACCTAAAATAGAGCCGCTCTTTATATTTTAATAAAGGTTGCTGCAAATATAGCCTCTGACCACACCAAATTTATTTATGTCACACCAAATGTAGTCAATGACCAACATCTAAATAAAATTTAGATTTTTTTTTTGTTGATTATTTTTAGTTGAATAAAACTTAGATGACCACAAAAAACTAAATTTTAGTTTTCAGTTTCGCTTTAAACTGAAAATGTTTCTTAGATTAGGTTTCTATTTTCAAAATTACGCACGAGTTACTTACACGAGTTACAAGAATTTAGAAAGATTTTTTTGCTATATGTACCTTTATCGTTCCATAGACCGTAATATTGATTAGTGATTTTATGCGTGATTTGTTTTGACTTTACCTTAGCGTGAAAATCTCCCTAATGTATAAACTACTGTCAAAAAACATAATAAAATATTTAACAAATTTAAAATAATTTTATTATGAATAAACAGATCAACATACTCTTATATTACATATTCTCTGAAATAATATTTTTAAACCTTAGTTTGCTCAAATTTTTTAAAAAAATTGTATTTAAGGATTCAGATGGTTAAAATGTTTAGTTTATACCGTAAGCCGTGGCTAACATTAGGCTTTGGCTACCGTCGTGAACGCTTGTACTTTATCCATACGGTCATGTCTTCGCATTTTTACGCCAGTAAAAAAAAGAAAAAAAACGAAGGTAGTTGTTAATTATATTGTTAAGAAGTTTATTTTATGCAATCATCTGCATTACTTAACACATAAGTTATTGAAAGGCAAGCAAAAAAAAAAATTGAATCTGTAATAGAGGAAAAGTTTAAAGCGCCTAAAAGTAAGTTCGCTTTTAAGATTTTGATAATAAAAATGCTTCAATTTAAAATGACAAAATGTCCGAAACTTTACATTCAATAGAAAATATAGCAAACTTATTTCAAAAAAAAAGCAAAAGGTTTACAAAAGTATATTGAAGACAAAAAAAGTACTCAAATATACTCAAGATTCCGTCATTTATGAAAAAATCATAAACATTGAAAAAAAACTTAAGACGTTTATGAATGGAAATCAGAAAGTGCAATTAAATTTAAAAAAAATAACAACGCTGATCAAAGCAAGCAAGTATAATGATGCGCTAAAAGAAAAGATGAAGATAGCTAGAAGATATAAACAGAAGAAACAATATTAGATTGATGATGTATGAGAAATGGAAAAAAAATTAAGGGATCAAACCAAAAAAGTTCAACAAATAAACAATAAACAGTTTAAAATGAGCAGAGCTGGAGACTTTTTATTATTTCAGAAAGTAGGTTTTTGGGTTTATTGGTTTTTTTTTGGGTTTTATTTTTAAATGCTAGATATCATTATGAAAAATTCAAATATTATTGACTGTATGACAATCATAATATGGAGATTTCCAGAAAATTCAATGAATATCATAACGAAATTGTTGAAAATATTAAAAACTTAGCAAAAATTGACATTGTCATAACAATTATTTTTAAAATTTAAATTGTAAAAACAAAAAACCCAAAACTTAATAAACCCACTTTGTCTAGCCCTAAAAATAAGTTGAAAAAGCGCACCGTATAAAAATTTTTTTTTCAAAAAACGTAAAGAATAAATCCAGAACAATCATTCTTAAATTGCTAAACTATAAAGACATAAAAAACTTGAAAAACGCAAAGATGCTGAAAGTTAATTAAAAGGTGTTAAATTACACTAAAAAGGTGTGCAGCATGAAAAACACCGAAACGGTGTTAAGTTACACCGTTTTAGCGTAATTCATGCTGCACACCTTTTTAGTGTTAATTTACAGCATTTTGGTGTTAATTTACACCGTTTTAGTGTATTTCATGCTGCACACCTTTTTAGTGTTAACTCACACCGTTTTGGAGTTAAATTACACCGTTTCAGTGTATTTTAGGCTAGTTTCAAACAAAGAAACATCAAAAAATAACATACATATATTTACTTATAAAGTACATAAAAATGTGTTCCTGTTTATGTTCTATTCATTAAAAAAGTTTTATAAAAATGTCTTTATGGTTCATTTAAAGTTAATGATTTCAATAGTTGACTTGCCTTAATCGATCAAAAAAGAACTTTTTTTAATATAAACTGCCAACATTAACCAAAATGATTTTGAACTAAGAATACTCTAGGTTAATTTATAAAAAAAAGAACCATAGTTTAGCGTGTATAATATCAACAACCTTTCTTGGGAAACAACCACAACAACAACAAGATATTTGTCTCCTTCATAGTAGTCTGAAATCTGTATGTTAGTTGGGTTTTGCTTGATAACAGTTTGGGTTTTGCTTAATAACAGTTAAGCGAGGATTTATATAATACACAATAGACATTTAAAGGATGTCGTCATCGTAACCCTAAAATAAATATACAAAATAAAACATGAATTTTTAATCCTAATTACTGATATAGGAAAGTCCAACTAAATAAGGTAAACCTTAAACACAGAAGGAAAAAAATTATTATAATACTTTATTATAACATACTTGAGGTGTCTATATATATATATATATATATATATACATATATATATATATATATATATATATATATATATATATATATATATATATATATATATATATATATATATATATATATATATATATATATATATATATATATATATATATATATATATATATATATATATATACATATATATATATATATATATATATATATATATATATATATATATATATATATATATATATATATATATATGTATATGTGTATTTTTATATATGTATATATATATATATATATATATATATATATATATATATATATATATATATATGTGTGTGTGTGTATGTATGTGTATAAGTGTATATGTATATGTGTAAATGTATATATGTATACATATATCCTTCTTATATATATTCTTCTTGTTTTTTTTTGTTTGTCTGTTTTAGTTTTGTTTTTAAAAAAAATATGAGAAGATGAATATAAATCTATAAAATGTTCGGAATAAAGAAGATGAATATAAATCTATAAAATGTGTCAAATGACAATATATATAGAAAAAAATATATATCTTAATTATAATTCCATAAAGGTATAACTTGAATATAAAAAGTATAACTATCATACTTAATATATCCTAATTATACTTCCATCGTAGTATAATTAAGATATATTATGGAAGTATATTTTAGACGAAAGTGTCATTAAGATATGTTAAATATGATTATTACACTTAATATATCTTAATTATACTTCCATGATACCATGGAAGTATTATCTTAAACATCTTAATTATACCTCCAATATATTTTAATTATACGTGGTTTGTTAAAAAATGTCTTTAATAAAATTAAATACAGTAGTGTCAGTAAAATAGAAAAATAAAAAAAGTTGACAATTAGTAGTGTTATAAAAGTAGAAAGAAAGTTAATACTTTTACCAAAAATTTTAGCTGAATTATTTAGATCTATATTTCCTTGGTCAAACGAAATAAAAAGAAGTAATTAAGGTGAATTATGCTGTTAAACGTTATACCTCCCGCTATAACTCAATATTTAATGATTAAACGTAATCAAAAGAGACAATAAAGCACACGGTTAAACTAAAATATTTTATTAAAAACTTTTAGGATTATAAATTTTCATTGATTTAAAAAACGAACTTCTAATTACATTCTTATAAATTTTATTCAAATGCTCCAAAGAAGGATATTATTTTACAGTTTCTTGTTTGCCCTGTGTTATTATGGTGCATTTTTAGTTATTTCATTTATGATAGTGAATCGCAATAATTCCTTGGCATCCTATAACTTTTCAAACAATACAGTTAAATTGTGTAGAATTAATCAAATTTCCAATAAAAGAAATTCAGGTAACTAATTTTATAATGCTACTTTATATATTTGTAGGAATTACAACTAATGTTATTTACAAATAGTGTTACGTGTTTTTTTTAAATGTATATATATATATATATATATATATATATATATATATATATATATATATATATATATATATATATATATATATATATATATATATATATATATATATATATATATATATATATATATATATATATATATATATATATGAAACTTGTTTATAAGAATTGTTTACCGCTAAAATAAGAAACTTATTTTATTAAGTGTTCGAGGAATGTTTTCTCATTTTTCTCTTACGCACAACATCAACGGAACACGAAATTAAAAAGCATTATTAACAACGGAAAACAACAATGAGTATTTAATGTGCACGCATTTGAGTGGAACTTTATTCGATTGCAAATGAATTACATATCGTAACAATGAAATACATATTAACAATTTTAGGAAACTCTTAAGGAAATATTTAGTACTAGATCAGGATTATGACTAATATTATTATTACTCATTCAGAAATTAGAAAGCACCAATGAAGATTATAGGCTTAACTCATTTGGAACTAGCACCAATGAATAAGGTTTATACATTTAACAGCTTTGGAAACAATGTAAATTCAATCGTGTCTAATCATGGACGTATGATTGATTGTATGGACGTATGAACGATTTGAAATATGAAGTATATGAAAATGAAATATGAATACATCTAAAAAAATTTATTAAAAAAGGCTAAAAGAGATAAATCTATTGAAAAAGTCTAATAATTGAAATAAAATTGAATAAAAAGTTTTCCATTTATATAATAAACATGATAAAGTTTGGTAAATAAGCTTTATAAAATAAAGGTTTTTTGTAAAACTTTTGTTTTAATTGTTTATATAGCTATATAAACAATTATTAGCTATATGGCATAACCGCGACTTCGTTCCGCAATAAATTAATATTATATTATCTTCGCACTAAATTTAATATAATATCATTTCTAAGCATAGTATCTAAATAGATACTATGCTTAGAGGTAATAGAATATTAAATTTGGTGCGGAGATAATATAATATTAATTTGTTGCGGAACGAAAGCAAACATTAATATGATCTAAAAAATAAACTTATTAAAAGTAACGGCTAACACCAAAATAAACTTATAATTCGGGTATAGCAGTCCAATACCGAAACTGAAACCGACATTTCGAAAAACCGAAACCATAAAGTACTTTCGGCTAAGCAAAATTAATATCATTAGAAAATGTTACCTAAAAATGCAATTTTACATTTTTTGTTTATTTAGATTAATTTTGTTTTTTATATTTACTGTTTTTTTTTTTTTTCTTTTTTTTTTTTGACGCTTTATGTAATAAAAAAAACGCTGTTGGTTGCGCAACAGTACCGTCGCTTTAGTTATTTTCTTAAAGTCACTGTAGTGATAGCTGATTGGTTGATTTTTTTCCTTTTATTTAAAGAACGCATGCCTAAACCAAAATCCTTAATTGATGTATGTGTGATCCACTGCGCCTTACTCTAAATCAGTTGATGTATGTGTGCTTCACTTCGCCTATCCCTAAATCAGGGAATGTATGCACACTCACTGCGCCTATCCATATATCAGTCGATGTATGTAAATAATGAAAATCAATGTAACTTTCAATATACAAGAATATTAATAATAACTTTCAATAAAAAATAATTCAAAAACGCTTTAAAACATTTTACTGAAGATAAACCAATGAGATACCACAACATTAAAGGTACAATGTAGAGTTGCAATTCTTTTTAAATTTCTAAAAATAAAACTTTCAAAATTAAGCAATAACATTTGTAGCCGTGACTTAAAATAAACCAATCAAACTTTACTACCGTGACTTTAAGATAAAAAATTAAAGCAACGGTACCGCTCCGGTTTTTTTAGGGCCGATTTCGATATAGTATTTATTAAATTCGCTTTTGATTCATAAATACTTTTGTTATCAACTATAATCATTTGGGGGAGGGAACTTGAGCATGTTATTTGATTGCCAGTAACTTATTTTATTACTTGCCAAGTGCGCTTAGAGTTATTTTTAAATTTGTCTAATATTCTAGAATAATAAAAATAGGGAAATGGCGCCCATGATAGCATACTTAACTTTGAAGCTTCATTATTCAGTATCCTGATAGCCAAGAACAACAGTTTGATATAGATACATTCTTTGTTACATGTAGAACAATAATAATTCTAGAAGTTTTCATCAGTTTCATTTTTTTATTAGGTTTTTTTAATTTAAAAAAAAGCATAAGCATGCCATCATAGGAAACTACCGCTCCTATGATGGCAAATGGGAGTATAAGGCTTGTTAGCATCAACGGTAATATAAAGATTTCATTTGAACTTAAATTTTTCACTTAGAAATGCCAAAAATTACGCGTAATCATCCTTATTAACCCCTTCGTGCTACACAGTAGCAGTGTAGAACTTCGCGCATGCGCATGAGAGATTTTGCGTATTAATTTTTTTTTTTTTCGTTTCATTTTTGTCGTTGTTTACAAAGATAAACAGACAAGGCTTCTGAAAGAAGATCATAATGATCTTATCATCAGAACCTTTTACAATTTTTTTAAAATCAAAACATTAACAAAACTAAAAAATTACAATAAATCGTGATATAAATTGGAAATATAAATCAAACCACTAATATTATATATAATAAAAAGTCTGACCATATCATCAGATCTTATAAAAACGTAAATATATATATACATAGTAAATACAGTAATACATCTCTTTTTTTAAAAGGCAAGAGAAAATACAACAGTCTTACAATTAAAAAGACAAATACGTGATTGTTATAAAAAGTATTTAAATATATCATCAATAGATAAAACAAAATTTTTAAGTTTACTTTTAAAGATCGGAAATGTATTGTATATATCAAAATTAGGTATAACAATTTTATTCCAAAGATAGGGTGCTCGAAATGTAATGCAAAATTTGTTAAATTTTGTTCTGCAAATAGGTTCATGTACAAAATTTTTATTTCTAAGTAAATATTTATTAATTGGGTTTAGAGAAAAAAGGTTTTTAAAGATAGGTAAAGTTAAATCGTTTGTCCACATGTAAATAAAGCATTATATGTTATAAACATTGAGCTCGTAAATATTAAGTATTTTCATCTCCATAAATAATGGTTTGGAATGAGTAAAACGATCCGCAAAATTAATCAATCGGATCGCATGCTTCTGACGGCGAAAAAGGCATTTTAGCTTACTTTTTTCGGTGCTTCTCCACGCAATGTTGGCATAATTAATATAGGTTCTGAATAAATGAATAAAAGAGTTGGGTTAAGGGTTTTTTGTTTAAATATGATCTAGATTTATATAAGACTCCGTTACTTTTAGATATTTTTGAGCAGATATATTCTATATGCAGTTTCTATATATTGTTCTCGTCGAGAACCACTCCTAAAAGTTTAGTAACAAAATCTCTTTTTATTTCAACTTTATCAATAAATATTTTGGGCAAATGTTGGGGTAAATAGCGTTTTTTAGAGAGTGAATGGAAAAGAACCCATTTGGTTTTATTAATGTTAAGAGTTAACTTGTAACATTTGAACCAAGTAGATATGTTTTTGAGTTCATCATTCATTGTAGAAAAGAGTTTGGATATGTCATTATTGGTCAGGAATAAGTTGGTGTCGTCGGCAAACATGATACTCATTAAGTTTGAGGCTTTATTTAAGTCATTTATATAGATTAAGAACAAAAGTGGTCCCAAGATAGAGCCTTGGGGAACACCACAGAAAATATTTAGTAGATGACTTTGGTTATAGTTATTAATAAAAACAAATTGTTTGCGTTTTGATAAGTAACTACGAAGCCATTTTATAGTTATATAGTTTAATCCGTAGTATTTTAGTTTTTCAAGAGGGATTTCATGGTCGACAGTATCAAAAGCCTTCGACAAGTCAATAAAAACACCTAATGTATATTGGGATCTTTGAAAGGAATTGGAGATTTCTCGTACAAATTGGATGATTGTATGCTTAGCGGAATTATTTTTTTGAAACCAAATTGATTATTATATAAAAGATTATTGGAAACAAGATAGTTGTAAACTCTATTGTACGTAATACGCTCTAAGATTTTTGAAAAGGTAGAAAGGATAGATATAAGGCGATAGTTACTGATATTGCAACACTCTCCTTCTTTCAAAATTGGAATAACTTTTGCAATTTTTAGACGATCAGGAACAAACTCCTTGGTTGACAGATGATTTATAAACTTCATAAAGAATATTTTTGAGATGATCAAAACACTCGATAATTATGTCACCATTTATTCCATCAGCTCCGATAGCTTTTTTTTTTTTTTTTTAGTGATTTTAAGGCGATTTGAAATTCATCAAAAGATAATTCTGAGTATATTTCTTTGGAACAGTTGCAATAATCCTTTGGTACTAAGAAATCATAAAATGCGACTGGGGTAAAGGGAACATTATAAGCTAATTTAGGGCCGATTTCGATAAAGTATTTATTAAATTCGTTAGATATAGCTTTTGATTCATAAATACTTTTGTTATCAACTATAATCATTAGAGGGAGTGAACTTGAGCATGTTTTTTGATTGCCAGTAACTTATTTTAATCCTTGCCAAGTGCGCAAGTGCGAGTTATTTTTAAATTTGTCTAATATTCTAGAGTAATAATTTTTTTTTAGACGTTTACGAATTTTTTAGAACAAATATTTATAATTTTTGTATATTTTTTCATTTTTAGACAATTTCGTTTTAAGATATTTTATATACAACTTCTGTTTTGTTTTAGATGACTTTTTAAAACCCTTGGTAACCCAAGGGTTATTAAAATTTTTTTATTTTAATTGTTTTTTCAATAATTGGAAAGTTTGCATCATATACGGCGTAAAATGTTTTGAAGAAGGTCTCATAAATGGTTTCAACATTCCCCTTGAAATTAATATGATCCCAGTGCAAAAAAGATAACTGATTTTTAAAGAG